CACCAAAATTTGACATTAACGGAGCTTCCAAGTCACCACGATTGAAGATCAAGTCACCAGGAAACCTACGCCAACTAACTCTAAATAGTCGCCGGAAAACCTCGCCGTAACAGCCGCTGGGAAACCTCACCTGGAGACACACTCAAAAGGACAGAAATGTCACTAAAAAAGGATGTTTTCTAAGCAATTTCAGATCTAGTCGTCTAGTCAGTACACTATTGTATTTGTTGATAAATTAAACGAAAATATCAATGAAAACTCTTATAGATCTCGGTTTAGATGACAACCTGTTTTCATGAAAGTTGAACCTGATCATCCTTCCTTCACATATCTAATCATCCTTCCTTCACATATCTAACTTCAGATTTATTCCTTTTGCAACTTCCTAATCTACAAACATCTACACAAAACTTCATATCTAAGAGACTGAAGGTGGTTATTAAGTTCCGACAATCTGAGTTGGAAATAGAGCAATGGACGGTGGAGGGAGGTAATGACGACGGTAGGTAGCTGTGGTGGAGCGGTCATCAGCAGCGACAGTGATGTAGACATCGGGGGAAACCACATGAGGCTTCCAGTGGTAGAAGGAGGTAAGGAAGGAAGAAGTTTTACACCGATCATCGTGACTTCACTCATCTAACTTCAGATATATTACTTTTTCAACTTCCTGATCTACAAACTTCGCCGGAAAATTCAGATCCAAAAGGCCCCAGGCGGTTGGTGAGTTTTCCGATAGTCTAAGGAGGTAATAGAGCAGTGGACGGTGGGGGAAGGTGACAACCACGGTAGGTAGCAGTTGTAGAGTGGATATTGACGACGATGAAGCATACATCGGCGCCGGAGGTAGGAGGCCGCTGGTGTTAGGAGGGAGAGAGGGGATAGTTTGATTTTTTGGAGAATGTGAAGTAATAATCAGATATAACTTTTAAAGTATCAATTAGCATTCTATATTTATGAAAGTGCACAGAGATTCGTTTTTATTTACGATAACACCATTCTCTTTTTAAATAATGGATATACGAAAATACATTTTATAATATTTATTGAAATTGCAATAGTAGGTAATTAACTCATCAATGTTTTAGTTATCATCATACAACGAATGAGAAGGCAAATGGGCAACAAGTTGCGCCGCTAAGCCCTTTTGTATGGTAAAACCAATTCTTTTGAAGACTACATCCATAGATCTAGGGTATATAACATGGCTATGCATGATCTGTTGTAGTGTACTAAGGAGCTCCACCGCATCCCGCGCAAGGAAGCCAGACATATCAAAAGCAAATGGTATGAACGCGTGTTGATTTTCCATGCACGGTTACTCATGTTTGGTGACCTTGCATGTAGCAGCTTTTAATGCAGTCTGTCCCACCGTGAAACCCCCGGCCCTCAAACTTACGAGAGGGGATACCCCTGTAAGGTCCACACATGCGTGTTTCCCTCCAACCCATCCAAAAATCAAAACGTCAGCCGGTCTAAGGGTTGACTTTCCTTCTGTCGAGTCAGTCAGGAAATTCACAGGAGCCTCTTTCTTGGCGGAAACCCCGGCATGCTTACATATGTCGACCAAAACATCCCTAACTATATCGTGCCTGTATTTGAACCCCGGGAGTTCTTTGCAATGAACTGCATGCTCGCCTAAAGAGTCCAAACATGCCTTGCGGCACACCGGGCATATCCCATCGGCTGGGAATATTGGAATCATGAGTCGATATCTGAGGATGGTACGATACTCCACCGGAGACATATGTTGGCCAAGCCCATCTATAGGGATAACTAGAAGAAAATCTTGAGCATGTGGTGCACGTAAACACTGGAAAACTGCTTTCTGCCGAGCCGTCATAATGAAATTCACTTCCATATCTTGGATAATTTTACTAAAAAGGGCACTCGCCAGTGTACTCTGGGATTTAGGGGGGCGGTGTCCTTAGTAGTAAAACTGCTAAGGTCAATGTCCGGAAGCTTGTTACGAAGAGAATCTAAGGCACAAGCATAATCAGAATCCATACCATAAATGTCGCTATCCCGTAAGATGTGGTCTTGCAATACCCAAGATTGGGCCATTGAGGAAACAAAAGCATATGAGGTAGCCTCTACTGCCGATTATAAACCCAAACCACCAAACTGAATGGGTAGGGAAGCAAGTCGCCACTGTAAGTCGCCAAAGAAGGGGCCACTACAAACCACAATGTCCTCAATCGCCCCACGTAATCCATTATCGAAGAACAACGCCGCCTCCTCCATGTGAACGGGTTGGCACGTCCTCAGCCCAAAGAAAAGTTTAGCAATACCCATACAAGACCGAAGTAGAAGGATCTCACTCTGTGGGTCAGACAATTGTGGAAGAAGGCGCATCAAATTCACAACGCCTTCAGCTCTCTTAATGGCTAAGTTGCTAATGAAACTAGCATCTCTGCTAATAGCTCCCCCGAGAAGTTTCACCCCCAATGACGGCCTCCCGATGCCAACCGGGAATAGCCCCTCACGCAGCTTCCTTCCATCACACGAGGGCCAAAAGAGCTCGATTTTCTTGATATTCAACTGAAGGCCCAATTGTGGGCCAATAGCCTTAATGATGTCTAAGGCTTTGGCCACCTCCTCAGAATCTCCAATAAGTGTGCCATCATCCAGGTACCATGCATGGAGAAGAAGCTTGCAATTGTCTCTAATATTATGCAAGAGCGGGTGCAACACAAGGGAAAAGAGAAGTGGTCCCAAGGGGTCTCCTTGTTGAACTCCAGTAGAAGACCAAATATGTGTGACCCCTAGATATAACCTTGCTGCTTGACCATATAGGAATTCTACCCACAAGGATATAGAAGGGCACCTTAATCTGACCTCATGAAGTAATGCGGATCTGTCAACAAGGTTAAAGGCATTGGAGAAGTCCACAGTAAGCATGGAAAGAGACCCATCATTGTGGCGTTCACTCAACACCCTGTTGGCGCTATGTAATACGGCTTCAGCGCCACCCGACACCCCGACCCCGAACTGAAAATCATTGAGATACTTGGCCATTTCTTTACCAACACCTTTCATAGCCAGCTTGGAAACCAAACGTCTCCATATAGTTCCTACTGCAATAGGTCGTATTCCCTTGTCAGGTTTTAAAAGCGGTGTAAGAGGAGCAGAGGCAACAAATTCCGCCAAACTCGAAGGGCATCTCCCCCTAGCCATAAATTAATTACACATGTGATAGCACATAGGAGGTCTTTGGCAATTGCTGAACCTTCTCCACAAAGAGCATCTAAAATGTGTTGAGCTCTCAACCCATCTCTCCCACACGAGGTTCCTTTAGGGAATGATTTAATTCCCCCAAGGACATTGTCAATATCAACCACAAGGGGAGGTACTGAACATATGGTACTCGGCAGGGATGGTGGTGGCTTGTGTGGATGCTTATCATCCAATGCCTTCGTGGTAGCATACCCGTATGGAGAAACCCCCGAGGAACATAATACTTTCACTGCTGCTGTGAAATGCCCATCAGCAACCTTATAGAGACATTGTCTGACGTTGGCGTGACCCCGTGTTATATCCTCCTGAATGTACTCTTCTTTTTTGCATTGTTGCTCCATCCTTGCATTGTCAACCAAGTTTTTAACAAGCTTGGTTATACCATCTTCTGTACCCCAAGCAGCTAATGCGCTTAAGATGTTACGATGTTGCAAGGACTTCCTGTTCCCAGACCTACTTTCTTGTCTATTCTTGGGACTGAACACCTGAAGAGTACACCTAGGAAGAATTAACAATGTAACCCACGCTTCAATGGACCCGGGATGAGCAGCAACCTTGGAAAGGGCTACTTTCAAAGCCTGAGAGAAAGCCATACGACAGTTATGAGGAATGCTTTTGACCATAGTGATAGGTAGTTTAAACCCAAGATCAAGGAGCTGAGCATCCAACACCAACCCCTCATTGAGGTTGGCATCCGGTTCATTGGGTGGCGGCTTTTGAATACCAACAATATGTCTGCTCATGTCATCAACATCACCGTTGAATTTAACAGGACCACCTGAGTGTCGACACGAGCAGCTTAGGGCATGGAGACTCATACAATCCCCACATATCCATTGACCAAACTCCTTCAATGTTGCTGCCACTGACATAAACAATCCAAGGTCTAAAGAAATAGCATCTCGCAACACAGCTCTACGCTCATCCGTAGAGAGGTGCAAACTCCCGAAAAGGATATCCCCTTACCACCCACTTCTCCGTTCAGGCAGCAATGAAACCCTCGAAAAGGACACGGCCAAGTTCCGCTCGCATATGTATGAGAAGACGCCATAAACACATAACCAAATTTTAATAAAGCCTCAAGGGGAGGCTCGGAAAGAGAAGCAAAAAAACCAAAGTAAAGAGTGACACTCCAACAAAAGGTTGGAGTGCACAATGAAAAACCACCCCGGAAGAGACTCTACATCTTTTTGGGTCCTAACATGGCTGCAACACTTAAAAAAAAGACCTTTAGACATTTTATCGAACACCTGGCGGGCAGAAAAAGAAATGTATGATTTGCACCAATGAGGCTTGAGAATTTAACCCATATATAATCCCCACTTGATTGGATGAATTATTGAAATTAAATTATCGATATGGAGCAATAGAGATGAAGTAGTGGGTTGAACCATTGAAGCATTCCAGATTCGAAGTCAGTAAGTTCAATAAGAGGTCAAACTGAAAAGTCAAGTTGAAGTTTCGATGCTTTGAAGTGAACTAGTGTCAACTGGGTCTCGCATCTCACAATCACTCTCTTTCTATGAGATACCATCTTACTGTGTGAATAAATATGAAATTTGTCACAATCACTCTCTTTGAAGTTTCGATGCTTTGTAGATCGGATCAAAGGTAGGGTTGTCATTTTATTGTCACTCGGTCATTGTTTTTATTCGGTTATCCATCTTTTTCCTCAATGTCGACTGTAATTTCTATCACTTACAACCATTTTCGTCTTGATTTTTGACATAGTTTGTTGTTTCGTTTGTTTCATTCAGGATCAAACGATGAAAGGAGGCAAATCAAGTGGAGGAAAGCTGATGGCAAGTACGATTTAATCTATACTATCAAATAAATATAAATTATAAACTACAAATAATAGTTGTTAGAGTTCTTAATTTTTTTTTTGTTCTCATTTGATCTTTTAAGGTTCTTACGGTTCTTAATCTTTTTTGGTTTTTATTTGAACATTTATATATATATATATATATATATATATATATATATAGAGAGAGAGAGAGAGAGAGAGAGAGAGAGAGCATTGAGCTAGGTTCAGGTGTTTAAACTAATTATTGTGTTATTGTATGCATAAATGTGGGCCAATCAAAATTTAAAATAAAAATAAATAATTAAACAAATAAATAAGGGTAAATAGGTAATTTGATAATTAGTTTCCACAAAATAATATCCTATAATTATTGTAACCATTTGACTTCAGCTACCTAGGTTTTCTCGATCATCGTCGGCTTTTTAAAACCACCACCTATTCGATCCCAACACCATTGCTCGTCTCCCTCGCTTCACACCCTTTAATCAATTTACCAATGCTCTTAGGAAAAAAACACAAACGGATCCTTCCCAATTTGGTCTCTACTCATGTTTAGCCCTTACTTGTATTTTGTCTGGGGGTTTTCAGCACTTCGGAGGTTAAAAAGCAGGGAAGCTCCTTACAGCGAGGTGTCTAAGGGTTTGTACGTCGGTGGGTGGCCTTCTTCGCCGGACAAAATGCCGCCGGGTAACCCTGCTGTAATAGATTGCACCTGTGAGTTACCTAGGGTTTCTGGTTTATCTAAAAATGGTTATCTTTGTGTTCCGACGTGGGATACAAGGTCTCCGGATCCAGGTGCCATGGAATCGTCTGTTCGATGGGCTTTGTGAAAGAGAACTCAGAATACTCCTATCTTTATTCATTGTGCTTATGGTAATTCAAATTCATTTCATCCTTACTAATACACTAATACTATACCTCTTGATTAACGATATCATTACACTAAAACCATCAATCTTAATTCTGATATGATTTTAACTCAGGCCATGGAAGAAGCGTGGCGTTGATGTGTGCTTTATTGGTGGGTTTGGGTGTCGTTGATGACTGGAAAAATGGTGAGAAATTAATCAAAGAAAAACGACCTTATATTCGAATGAGTGCTCTTCACCGGAAAGCCTTGGAAGAATGGTCAATGAACCGGTTATCTCCTCCAAAAAATGGATCCAATGCACGTTATTGATTAGGTAATGTCCATTAATTCAAAATTACTCTTCTTTATAGTGGTTATGTTAATATGAACATTTCTAAAACTTTGTTTTTTTATTGTACTTCATTGCTTTATAAAAAGTACAACAGTTGATGCAACTTTGTTAGATGTATCATTAGTTCTAATGTGCAAGTAAGAATTCACAAAAATCCAAGAAACATACTTTATACCACAAGGGCCGTTTTGTAATTTACTTTCTTTATTGATGGTATACAAACTTGATACTTTGTGATAACATTAAACCAAGATTAGAATGCAAATCTGATATCCCACCAGGTGTTCGATTAAAAAACTTAGTGAAAGCATAGACTATTATCAAGAAAGTGAAAGGGTCACTCTAGATGCACTTTCAACCACCGGTATGTCCATTCCAATCCTCGTGAAGTTGAAAATGCAACCTGGATGTTAACCGTGAGTACTATTCTAATCTAGTTTGTTGTTTACTTGAGTTAATTATTTCAATGAATGTTGGTGTTTTGATGGTATGTGTACAGGTGTTCAGCTGTTTCGGGCAGTATTTATGTCTCCACTTTGAGTCCAGAGTCAAGTTTTCAAGCCCAAAGATCAAAGTAAAAGCAAGGCAGCTAAGCGACGACAAAACACCCACCAGGTGTTCGATTAAATGCCTTAGTAAAAGCACAGACTATTATCAAGAAAGTGAAAGGGTCAACTGCAATTTTGGATGTGTTTAGGTTTATTGTCTAATTCTTTCAAGGTGTAATATTTTTGGTGAATTGGGAATTTGTTCTGATTGTCTAATTTTTACAGGAAATTGAAAGTTGTTTTGATGCACACCAAGCGCTCGCTAAAATGCTGCAACTGAATGGTATTTCTTCATTTATAGTATTCTATCAGAAAAGAATGTTTTTTTATGATAATCATGAACATATTCTGTTAGAATGCCCGAATTAATATAATTATTAGTAAATGCATTCCAATTCTATCAGAATGGAATCACGAATTCCAATTATGTTGGAATGGAATATGGATATTTTTTCACTAATTTATTCAGTGGATTTGTTTCCACAGAATCTGATGCTTGAAGAACTGACCACGAAATTTATACGACGCCTCTTAGCAACATTATTCTTTTAGAATGTATTAGTGTCTTTGTTAGATTTTGATGTTTTTTTTCCAGATTTGAAAGTTTTTAGTTTTATTCTTTAACAATAAATGTAATTCTTAGCAATTGTTATATGAATTCTATAAGAATTAATGTAATTTTTGTTTTAATTCTTCAATTGATGGTTCGAGAATTTGTTATTCTACAAGAAATTTTTAAAGTCATGATCAAGAAATATGTTCAAGAATATTTTTATTATTTATGGTTCAAGAATATTTTTATTTTTGAATATACTCATAAACATATTCTGTCAGAATGTCCGAATTAAAAGAATCATAATTCGTAAAATCGGATTTTTAAAATTTATAGAATCTATGATCCCTTAAAATATGCAATTTTCCTTTATTAAATCTATATTACTTGACTAAAATATCATTGTAATTAAATTAGATGGTATTTTTCAATTATATTTAATTCAATAATATGTATTAATCACTTTCTTAAAATAAGTAAAATGATTGACCCATATTTATGCATACAATAATACAATAATTACTTTAAATATAATAATCTAAGCCTATATATATATATATATATATATATATATATATATATATATATATATATATATATATATATATATAATACACTAGTATTTGTTTATATTTAACCTTGTATATAAAAAGAATTTGGATGTTAGAAGCTATCATGATTTACGACCAGAGTAGCCAGCCATCTCAGACTATGTCACCAATAACATTCAATCTATTTGACCCATGTCGATGATCAAAGACTGCACCACCACCAAACCATCGTCCACGACCGTGAGGAGCTCCTGCTTTCTCGGTTGTTTTGGTTGTTCCGGCGAGAAGATACAACACAGGGATAAAGTCAACTTGGGTTGCCGGCGTCGTTGGATCTCTAAGTGGAACGTCAGTTTCAAAAAATCCGCCACCAAGACAGTTCCTGTTGAACTCACCTCCACCTCCCGGAAATCAAAATCGTTTCAGCTTTTGGAGAAACATGCTCCGGCGACATCCGATACAACATGGGAAATTCAGGTGGTGGAAGACGACGCCACGTTGACCAAAAAATCTGTTATCATGATGGAGGGAAACCATGCTCCGGTGACATACGATGAACATAATAACCGTCGGAAAAAATGGATTTCTATACTCAAGCGTCAAAACGCGTCATCCCGTAGCAGCCGAAAAGAAATGAAAGCAGCCACCACAACAGCCACCAGTGCCGGCCTAGACCCCCCGGGAAAAAAATCTGTGACAGTTTCTTACCCTGTTGTTTCTTTCCCTCTCAAACCTTTGACGCATGCAACATCTCTACCGCCGCCTAAGGAGAAGAAACCTTCTCATGCTCCTCCTGCAGCCGGCGGGGCTGACAAAGTAACTTTCAACAAGCAGCCGCCGTTGGCTGGGCGGTTTGATTCCGTGATTGGTATGTCAGTAATACTAGTGACACTACTCATAATGCTGCTATGGGGTAAGATATGTGCTGTTCTTTGTACTTCTGCGTGGTTTTTTATAGCGCCACGCCTGGTGGCCGGCGGGGAACGTTCTGTCTTACCCACAGCGGAGAAGGGACGGCAGGATTCACATATTAACTTGGATTTGGAGTCAACGGAGTACAAGAAAAAGGTGGTTTTAGAAGGACTTCTTCAAAGAAACCACCGGAATGTTGTTGGTAGATTGTAGCTTTATAATCCTTAGCTATTTTTCGAATTCTTATTATTTTACTTTCTAAAGTTATTTTACTTTTGGGGTTTTCATAGGGTTCAAGGAGATCGTACATACCAGTTTTTTTTTTTTTTTTTTTTTTTAATGATTTGTGTACTAAAAATGGTTTTCAAACTCAACTATCATTGTGAGATTCCTAAGTAATTACCACTACGCCACCTGTATTATGGTGCGATTTTATTGGTTCTAATTTTTTAATTATATATACAATTCACTTGAAATATTTGATTATTTATCATGCATGTCTAATCAAGAAACCGACACTGGGTAAATTCAAATAAACGACATTAAGAGTAACTTTACATTATTTCATGTTTCAATATTGTGATGTTATTGGTTGGTTGGATTATAGGTTTTAACTTTGTGCTTTGTTTTTATTAGTTGTATTGTTCTTGAAGAGGGTTTTTGAGATTTGTACAATCGGCTTTAATGGTATGCAAAATATTTAGATGTGCGTTTTTAGTTTGGACTTAAGTTTATACACATTTAGATATGTATTTCGTTAGATTATTGGCAAAATGCATGTAAAATTGATGTACTTTCTTTGAAATTTAATTTTAGGCAATGTACTTTGAAATCAACATTTAAAGACACAATATAAGTTTATGCCTAATATATAAGAAGTTGTAGCACCCCAAAGTCAACAAAAGAGCAACTATAAATTTCGATAATAATTAAAACAACTTTTGACACCAAAATGTAAATTAGCAAGGTGGTCAAAATATGTGTGACAATGTATTGGAAATGCAATTGCCGACCAAAAACTAAACGACGATAAGGCAATAATATTATTGTTTAACGTGGGGTTACCATACATGAAAAAAATATGCCACTAAAAATCTATAACTTTTAGTGATATTTTAAACTAGACAAAATTTGAAAATCCGATAACTTTTAGCGATATTTTAAATTAGACAAATTTTAAAAAATGATCCACATGACATAGATGGTTCTTTTTATGTCTAATTGTAGTCTTTATCTTTTTTTAATGACCAATATGCCCTTGTTAAAATTTCAAAATTAGTATGTGCATTTCAAAATGTGGCAAGTTGATCTTTTTTTTAACCATTACCACCATCATCTCCTTCAGCCACCATGCACCAACACCACCTTTAGCAACTACCACCACCATGCCACCTTCAGCCATTGTCGTCACCACCGCTATCACCACCTTCAAACATGATATAAAGGTGAAGAAGAGAATGAATTTTCTTGTATATTGCTATGATCAGATACAAATATTTACACATAGAGGAATACATGAATAACCCTAGCCACATGAACTTAGGCACGTGATAAACAGTGCCACAAGACTTGGACTGATTCTAACGACTCCTTGGACTGATTCTAACGACTCCTTCTAATTTACTAAACACATGTGACTAATCCGTTAATACCCTTCGGCAAGCTCAAGTGCAGGAAGGACTTGAAGCTTGTTTCGAAGACTTGTAATGCGATCTTTTCCTAGAGGTTTAGTGAAGATATCAGTCAACTGATCAACGAAAAGGACTTGATAGATACACAACTAGCCATATTCAACCTGTTCTCGAACAAAGTGAAAATCAAGTGCAATGTGTTTCGATCTTGTACTGATTACTGGATTCTTGCACAAAAATGTCACTCTAACTTTGTCACAGAGTAAGAGAGGAGGCTTTGGTAGATGTATATGTAGATCACGAAGAAGTTGTTGAGTCCATAGAAGCTCAATAGAGGTGTAAGCTACAACTCTATATTTCGCTTCAGTACTTCAGCGAGCAACCACATGTTGTTTGCGAGAGGTCAGGCTAATGAGATTATGGCCATGGAATACAACAAATCCATATTGGGATCGGATGTCGTTTATGTCAAACATCCATCCTGAATTTGAGTAGGCTAGGAGACATTTCGGTTGTTATGGTGTGAAGTGAAGGCAATGAGTGGAAGTGCCATTGAGATAACGTAAGATTCACTTCATAGTTGGGATCAAACATGTCTAATTAAATTTGTTATTAGCGATCCCGTAAATCTAGGAATTATTTTGTAAGATATAACTGATAATCGATATCTACCGGGTTGAATTAAAATGGATGAGATATAGGATACCTAACCATTTATTTGTTTTGCAATTTGGATCCTAGACTTTGATAATTAATGTTTTTTGGAAACTAAAAGGGTATTAATTATTAAAGAATTTAAATATTGAAAATACTAAATGAATTTTGTTAAAATTTTGTAGTTAAATAATCCATTGTCATTACCATGAATTGTCTTTTTTTCTTTAATGACTTAATGAAACAATACAATTCACTAGATACAACTTCAAAATAATTGGATTCATGTCCTAAGAGACAATCACGTGAGAGATATGAAATTATATACACTTAAAGTTCCTAGTCCTAAACTATTTGCTTTGAGCAATAAACCTAAACATTATACCTAGTAAAGGCATCACTGGGATGCTAAAGATGTTTCTAACATCAAACTAGGAATAGTACAAAGCCCAAAAGAGTCACCTTGGGTGATCTAGGAGGCCCATGTTTTATGGACTGAACACCTTTAAGCCCAAGAAATCCAATAACGCCCACATAGATGGATATTGTTTCTTTTGTGGAGAAACGGGGCACTGGAAGAGGAACTGCTCTTCTTATCTGGAAAGAAAGTCTAGAAGAGACTAATACTTCATGCATCTACAAGATAGAATTCATACTTTTCATATAACACTTAGGTACTTTGTACTTAAATATTAACCTAATATTTGTAATTGTTTGCAGATATTTACAGAAGAGTAACCAACTGAGTACAATCGATTTGGAACTACACTCTCGAAGTCTAGTTTATTATGCTTGGGACATAATGTACTTGTAATATAAAACAATGTTTGCTTTGGAACAATATATATTTTAATTTAGCTTGCCTAAATATATGTCTCAGTTTAATTTATGAATGATTGACTATTTACTTTAATCGTTTTTCATAACGACCACCTTCATATTCAGAAATGATTAAAATTCTTTTTATGAGACTAGATCTATTAATAAGAATTATAAAGTAAATATCAATGTTTTATAAATAACAACTTCTATATGCAAAATACTTTTGAATTAAACTTGTTTTAAATCAAACTCATCTTTGACATTGTTATCTTTATTATATAAATGACATTCATATATTCCAACTTGAAGAAATGGATCCTTGAAGGCAAATAATGTAGTTTATTTGACATATGTAAATCTTATTTATATATAAAAGATTCCTAATGATATTTTCACTAAGTAGTAGAGAAAATAATTATTAAGGAACTATACACTGTGGTGTATGACTTCCTTTCTAATGATGTCTAAGATTTATCATAAGATACTAAATCAACTATATTAACAACTATAGTAGTTATTAATTATATTTTACATGTTAAAACATAATTGTGAAATCTTTGTTTAAGTTTTCAAATATAAAGTTGAAATACAAAGCGGTAAGAACTATCTCAGGCCTTAATGATAATAATGGATGAATTAAATCTTACTTGGTATGATTTTCTTTCTAATCGGTAGAAATTTCCTCCTTTTATTTCCTTGGGATAACACCTAGAACACTATCAATTGTACCTTGAGTATAAACACCAACTAAGTAGTAGATATAACATTTTCCTCATAATCCCTACCTTACTTAAATGTTTTATAGATTTAAAGCCTATGTTGGACTAAAGCTTTTAAACTCAAAATCTACTAAATACATATTTATATATAATACTCTAAATGCGGCTTAGATTATTATAATCAAACCCACCAAGAATACGTTTTCCGTATTCCTCTGATAGTTAAGTTAGCAGAAAGCAAACTTATAATAAGAAAGCAAGTGAAAGGTACATGGAACTTGAAGCAGCTCAAGAACCATTACCTGATGTAGTAATAGTTGACACTAGTTTTAACAAGGGATTATTAAACTTGAATAATAGATATTCACAAACACAAATTATTCGCTTTAGTGGTAGAAATCATCTATGACTTGTGTAACATTCCAAAAATCAAGAAATTTAAAATTTTCAAAATCAACCATTTAACATTATTGTTTACAAAAGAGTCATTGTTTCCAAAACATTATTTCAAAATCAGAGTTTTCCCAAGACCCAAAGCCATAAAAACAGGAAGTTGTGTGTCACACCCCCAAACCAGAACGGCGGAAACGTCTGGGGTGGATGACTTCATGTACAATATCATAACAAATGAATAGTAGTGATCAAAGCATTACAACCATCATATTGATTATTAAGGAGTTTACATTATACTCGAAACATTGTTTACTTGATATCAAATACATATGGCAAAAATAAATAACGTGACGTGGCGACGCCCCATCCTCAAAAACTCTTTTGGTTACCTGTTTACTGATTTCCTGAGAATACAAGTGATTTTGAAAAGTGTCAACAGTTAAGTTGGTGGGTTCATCAGAGTTTTGTATGAGAATGATTGGTAACTTTTCCTTGTAAAAAAATGATAGAGTGTACTTTTAGAAAATCCAATATTTTCTTTGATAATGAGCTGTAAGTCTTAACTCCAAAGACTAAAAATGTAAGTAGTGTTGTACTGGAAAATAGTATTATGTAGTTTTATCATTATATAAAACTAATTGAATGTATGTTAACCCCGTAAACCAAATGTATTGTTAATACCCCATGTGAGTTATCATAACCATGCTAGCGACTAGTGGCCTGGTACGACGTTCTTCAGGCGTCGGAATGTTAGACATTTGTCACCCTAGACCTACCGGTCTAACTGTAGCTAACAGCTTGGGTGCGGGGTTGTCAGCCCCGTATAGATCTATACACAAGTGTCACTATAATTCAGGACTTTAGTGTGTACTCTGGTAGGTACGGTGAAGCCAAATGTCTCACGCAATTGTATTAACAGGTTTACGTCTAGTGTAATGAACCCCTCAATGAAAGTATTACCCTTCCATAGGGGCCATAGTGTAAATATATTGAT